CCCGTTCCCACTCCCCCGTTCCCACTCCCCCGTTCCCGCTGTCCCATTCCCGGTGTCCCATTCCCAGTGTCCCGTTCCCACTCCCCCGTTCCCGGTGTCCGACCTGTGGCTCCGGGCGCTGCCGGAGGCTGCGGATCAGCAGTGCCGGGTACCAGAGGCTGAGCAGAGCCAGTGCCAGCAGCGCGGGGACGTGGCACAGAGCCGAGTACAGCCCGTGCACCTGGGGACATTGGGGACATTGGGGACATTGGGGACAGTGACACTGCCACCCCAGGGACGTGGCACAGCGCCGAGTGCAGCCCATGAACCTGGGGACACTGGGGACATTGGGGACATTATGGGGATGTGACACAGTGCCGAGTACAGCCCGTGCACCTGGAGGGACATCGTGGGGACGTCGTGGGGACACAGCCACCCTGGGGACATGACACAGTGCCATGTACAGCCCATGCACCTGAGGGGACATTGGGGACATTGTGGGGACATCATGGGGACAGTGACACTGCCACCACCCTAGAGGACATGGTGCCACCTCAGGGTCACCCAAGGAAGCCACAACCCCCCCAAGGCCACCCAGAGGAAGTGCCAAGGAAGCCACAATCCCTCAAGGCCTCCCGTGCAGGTGACAACCCCTCAGTGCCACCCTGCAGGACAATGCACCACCTCAGGACCACCCAGGGAGGTGACAACCCCTCAGTGCCACCGTGGTGCCAGCCCCACCTGTGGCCGCAGGGGACACTGCAGCCGCTGGCCCAGCTGGGCCCCGCAGTGGCCCCAGGCCAGCAGAGCTCCGGCCGCGTAGCCGCGGCGGCGCCGGGCAGCAGCGCAGGCCAGCAGCGGCCAGTAGAGAGCCGGGTAATAGAGCAGCGCCAGCAGCTTCCAGAACTCTGGGAAAAGCCAGAAAAACATGGAATGAGGACTCGGCATTGCGGTGACATCATGGTGACATCACATTGATATTACAGTGGCAGTGATATCATGGGTGACATCATGATGACATCACATAGACATCACGGTGACATCATGGGTGACATCATGGTGATGCCACATCGACATTGCGGTGACATCATGGGTGACGCCACGGTGATGTCACATCGACATTGTGGTGACATCAATATGACATCATAAGGACATCACAGTGACAGCATGTGGCATTACAGGTGACATCACAGGTATCGTCTCCATGACTTCACAGTGACGTCACAGTGACATCATTGTGACATCACAGGTGAGATCACTGTGAGTCACAGTCACATCACAATGACATCACAGATGACATCATATGTGACGTCACAGTGACGTCACATTGTCATCACATATGCCATCACAATGACATCACAATTACATCACATGTGACACCACAGTGACATCACACTGACATAACCCTGACATCACATGTGACATCACAATGGTACCACAGTGACATCACAGTGATATCACAATGACACCACATATACAATCACAATGACATCACTGTGACATCATGTGTGATATCGCATGTGACGTCACAGTGACATCATGTGACATCACAGGTGATATCGCTGTGAGTCACAATCACATCACAATGACATCACAGATGACATCACAATGGCATCACCTGTGACGTCATATGTGACATCGCAATTACATCACACTGACAACACTGACATAACCCTGACATCACAATGGCACCACAGTGACATCACAGTGACATCACAGTGACACCGTAACGACGTCACAATAACATCACGATGACGTCACAACGACACCACAGGTGACACCACGGGTGTCACCAGTGCCATCCCGGTGCCATCCCGGCGCTCTCCGGTGGCTCTCACCGCGCGCTCCGTGTCCGGCGGGCGCTGCCAGGGGCAGCGGTTCCCGGTCCAGCAGCAGCTGGAAAAGCGCCGAGATCTGCAGGGCGAAGGCGGCGGCGGCCGGAGCGCGGCTCCCGTCCTCCTCCAGATTCCCGGAGCTGGGAAAGGATCCCGGGAACGGCGTCAGGAATTCCCAGCCGCTCCCAGGGATTTGGGGGGGAGGGGTCACAGGGGTTTGGGGAATTCCGAGCCCTTTCCCGAGAGGGATCATTGGGATTTTGGGAATTCCAAACCCTTTCCAGGAATGGGATCATTGGGATTTGGGGAACGCCGAGACCTTTCCCAAGAGTGATCATTGGGATTTTGGGAATTCTGAGCTCTTTCCAGTGAGGAGTCAGAGGGGTTTGGGAATCTGGAGATGTTCCCAGGGAGGAGAGGAATTTTGAGCCCTTTCCAGGAATGGGATCAGAGGGGTTTGGGAATTCTGAGCCCTTTCCAGGAATGCGATCATTGGGATTTTGGGAATGCCAAGCTCTTTCCAATGAGAGGTCAGAGGAATTTTGGGAATTCTGAGCTCTTTCCAGGCAGGAGAGGAATTTTCAGAATTCCAAACCCTTTCCAGAGAGGGATCATTGGGACTTTGGAAATTCTGAGCTCTTTCCAATGAGGGAATCCAAGGGGTTTGGGAATTCAGAGCCCTTTCCAGGGAGGAGAGGAATTTTGGGAATTCCAAACCCTTTCCAGGAATGGGATGATTGGGATTTTGGGAATTCTGAGTTGTTTCCAATGAGGGATCAAAGGAGTTTGGGGATTCAGAGATGTTTCCAGGGAGGAGAGGAATTTTGGGAATTCTGAGCCCTTTCCACGGAAGAAGAAGAGGAATTTTGGGAATTCCGAGCCCTTTCCAGGGAAGGAGGGGTGGGATTTTGGGAATTCCGATACCTGAGCAATCCCGGGACGCCGCTCCAGCAGCTCCGGTGGAGACGGCGACGCTTGGCCGGGAAGGACAAGGCCAGGATCACGGCCAGCTGGGAAAGGGATGTGAATTTCATGGAAAAACGCTCCTGGGAATGCCGGGAACCCCACAGAGACCCCGTAAATCCATGGAAAAGGAATCCCGGGAAAGATCCAGGAGGGATTTTGGAGTTCTTGTCCCATAGGGAGCTGAAATCCCAGAAATCCAGGAATTCTGGGAGCTTTTAGGGGAGGAAAATTCATCCAAGACAGAGCCAGGGGCTGAACCCAATCCGTGGATTCTGGGTGGGGGATGGGATGTGGGAATGGGAATTTCTTTTTTCCCCTGGAATTTCCTTTTTTCCCCCTGGAATTTTTCCCCGGGACAGGAAAATTCCAGGATTTTGGGGTGGATACTCACGGAAACGGGAGCCATGATGGTGTGGTAGAGCCGGGGGGAAATGGTGGGGTGGCATTCCGGGATGGCGTCGGGAAGAAGGCTGGAAAAACGGGAAAAATCCCAAATTTTGGGGGTTTAACCCAGAAAGGAACGGGGAAAACCCTGGAAAAACAGGAAAATTCCCAAATTTTGGGGCTTTAACCCTGAAAGGGATGGGGAAAATTCTGGAAAAATGGGAAAAATCCCAGATTTGGGGTTAACCTTGCAGGGGATGGGAAAATTCTGGGAAAAATCCCAGATTTTGGTGAGGCAAAAAATCCGGGAATAAATCAGGGAATGACCAAAAATTCCAGGATTTGTAGAAGGGCCCAAAATCCAGGGATTTGCTCCGTGGGAAGGGAACACTCACTCATCTCCCAGCGCAGATTCCGTGGATTCGTAGAGGTACCAGTCGGATCCCAGATCCTCATCCAGGAAAATTCCTGTCTCCAGGGGGGAATCCCGAATTCCAGAGGAGCCGTTGGAGGCCATGGCCAAACCCTCCTGCTCCGGGATCCCAGCACCGGCTGGAAAAGTGGGAAAAACTCCTGGAAAAGTGGGAAAAACTCCTGGGAAAGTGGGAAAAACTCCTGGAAAAGCAGGATGGGGCTGGAAAAGTGGGAGAAAGGCCAGGAAAAGTGGGATGAGGGTTGGAAAAATGGGAAAGAAGATGGGAAATGGGGATGGGGGCTGGAAAAGTGGGAAAGGAGCCGGGAGAGGAGGGATGGGGGCTGGAAAAGGGAGAAAAAGGTCAGGAAAAGCTGGATGAGGCTGGAAAAGTGGGAAAACCACCTGGAAAAGTGGGGAAAAGGCTGGGAAAAGCCAGGTGGGGGCTGGAAAAGTGGGAAAGGAGCCGGGAGAGGAGGGATGGGGGCTGGAAAAGTGGGAAAAACGGCGGGAGAAGCCCAAAATTCCAGCGGGATTGCAGCTGCTGGGTGGAGCGGGGGGAGGGGAGGATCCCGAGGGACGATCCCGATGATCCCGGAGCCGCTCCCAGCCTTTGTTTGGGTTTTCCAAGGAATTCTTGGGGCTGGAAAAGCGGCGCAAAGGGCACGGCCGGGGAGGGGCGGGAGCGGGAAGGTCCCGAGGCTGGAAAAGTGGGAATTGTGGGAATCCCGATCCCGGGAGCAGCCCCGGGACGCTCCGGGATTTGGGATTTGGGGACTGCGGGGGTGGCTCCGCTCCAGGGCCGGAATTCCCGACATTCGGGTTTGGGATGGGGATGGATCCAGGAGATTCCCGGGAAGCATTTCCAGGGATTCCCGCCGCGCCAGGATGGGAAATTTGGGATTTGAGCCTCTCTTCCCAAAAAATCCGCCGGGAATCGGATCCTGCCTCTGCTCCGATCCCGGTCAGGGGTTCCGGTCATCCCATGGGATCGGGATTCCAGAGATCCCAAATCTCAGTTTGGGATGCCAGAGATCCCAGATCCCATCCCAGTTCCCAGTCCCAAATCCCAACAATCCCAAATCCCAGTGATCCCAGATCCCAAATCCCAGTGATCCCAGATCCCAAATCCCAGTGATCCCAGATCCCAAATCCCAGTGATCCCAAATCCTGGCAATCCTAAATCCCAGTTTGGGATCCCAGCGGTCCAAAATCCCAAATCCTAAACCTCAACAATCCCAGTTCCCATCCCAAATCCCTGTTTGGAATCCCAGTGATCCCAAATCCCATCCCAAATCTCATCCCAAATTTCACATCCCAAAAATCCCAAATCCCATCCCAGATCCCAAATCCCAGCGATCCCAGTTTCATCCCATCCCAAATCCCAGTTTGGGATCCCAGATCCCAAATCCCAGATCCCGTCCCAGAGCCCATCCCGGGTTTGAGCCGCTTCCCGATTTTCCAGCCCCGGGAAGGCTCATTCCCGATTTTCCAGCCTTTGGCACGCTCGGATCCCCCCGGGATAACGGGAACTCCCCCTCCCATGAAATTGGATCCCTCAGCTCATTCCTGGCTCCCAAAATCCCCAAAAAAAAGAGGCGGGAGCGCCAAAATCCCAGCGGGATCCGCATTCCCGGCCCCGCCTATCCCAGATCCCGCCTTTTCCTTGGAATCCGATCCCTCTGCTCCCCCCGGGACCTCTCCCTTGTATCGGGAATTCCCAGGAATTTCGGCATCCCGGAATAAAATCGGGAAGAGGGAAAAGGATGCGGGAGGGAATTCCCAACTTTTTGTTTGGGATTTCATTCCAGGATTTTCCTGGGAATGTTTGGGTTGGGATAATCCCGATTTCCTTCAATTCCCGATCCCTGCCAATCCCGAGGATGGATTTGGGATCTGATCCCGCTCCGGCATCTCCCAAAAGATCCCAAATAAAAAATTTGGGAACAGAGGGACGAGAGTTCCCGAAGCCTCTCCCGGTTTTTTGGGGTTTTTTTTTGGGAAAACTCCTCTGGACAAGCGGGTTGTCCAACCCCGGAGCTCTCGGAATTCCAGAGGGATCCCCAAAATCCCACGGGATGGGCTCATCCCAAGGGATTGAGGAGCTCATGGAGCCCCAATTCCCGATCCCATTCCCGAGCCAATCCCCAAATTCCCCCGGCGCTCTCATTCCCAGAATTCCCAAACCTGATCCCGGGATTCTGCGGCCCCAGGGAAGAGAAATTGGGAATTTTGGGAATTTTCCTGATCCTGGGATTCTGCAGCCCCCGGGAAAGGGAAAACAGGGAATGAAACCTCTCCTGGATGGGGGGGGGG